ACATTTGATAGGAAGGTGATACAGTACAAGTTTTAATGTGTTTGGTAGTTATGGTAAGCTGTGGATAGATATTGAATAAACTGTGTAAGTAAAAAACAACAACGCGTAACTATAGTGTGATGTTAAGGTATCTATAGTAGTAATTTTTTCTTTACATAAATATCACTTTCCTCAATATATTATACAGTAGATATCCAACTTACAGCGATCAAAAATGATGTTCAGAAAAATCATTATATTTATTTTCTATATCGATTTGTTTAATGCTAAATACTCCCAAAATTATTCATAATATATCTATTTTAAATCTTTGTATCTCTCAAGAATATCAAGCAGTTCTGATAATTTCCACCATTTGTTGCCTTTCATGAAAACTATTAAAAATGTTTCATGTATGTCGATTTGTAAACTGAAATAGATGAGTGTTAAGTTTGTGTTTTGAAGACAAGTTGGTAAAGATGAAGGATATTTGCTTGGTTAAACTACATAGAAGAAAAGTGGCTTAAGATTTGGTTAATTACATGGATGGGAACTTATATTAATTTGTATATAGGATGATAGAGCATAAAAAAATAGAAATACTTTATTCTATTGCATTTTTGGCTGACATATATTTTTGGAGTTGTTTTGATTATAAAGTAACAAAAAATCGTATATCTTTGGCAGGTTTTCAGTTCGCTGCAGTAAATTTCGTGGGGTTTAATGTTCACATCTTCTGCACGTGAGCTTGACATAATCAGCCTCAACCAGTCAGGGGAAGTCACTCTGTCATGTGATAGATCTACGCATGACCAAGTATTTGAAATGGAAATTGATAATATCTTCAGTCTGAGTACAGGTATGTATGTCTTGTGTCATAGGTGTTCTTTAAATCACCATCAATAACATGAAAGTCTATTTTTGTTAGTGATTCTGGGGGTATGTACTGTACTGAATCTGTACCCATGGGAATACAGGAATCATTGAAAGAGGTTAGGTGAAGTTCGGTAAAGTAAGGTAATTTCAGCACGGCGGTAATACGAGAACACACCGCACTGGGATGGGTGTGGGGGTGAGGGTGAATGGTGATGTTTTCTGAATGGCGAACATAGATGACCATTCTCCTATAAATTGGGTTGCCAGCTTCTTTGGGCGAGTGAGGGACATCATATTCTATGGTTGCTGGTATGACATGGAGGTTTCATTTGATGGTGTAACCTCGCCTGTCTCAGGAAATAAATATACGTAGTGCCAACTGTGCTGGTTCATGTGGAAATTTGTACAGGTACCCCCCAGTTTATTTCACCTGATGATTAAACACCCTAACACTACCTGGAAGTTTAGATAAGATTAGAGTATACTAGTAGGTTAAATTAGATCAGGTTAGATTAGGTTAGGTTAGATTAGATCTGATTAGGGTACAGTATGTTATTTAAGGTTAGGTTAATTAGAGTAGAGCAGCAGGTAATGTTAGTTTAGGTTAACATTAAAATAAGCTGGGATTGCTAATCTTCATGAGAGGTGACCTTAAATGTTGAACTCCTTGAGACAAAGAAAAAGGGAAGAGCTACTCGTACAATTTGTGGACCGGGGAGATACCATCACTACATGCGGGTCCATTGGCAGCCCTGTGAGGTACATTCAGGGTGGAGAGACATGTACCCTAAACTCGAGAACCTAAAACTGTACACATGAGAACTTTTAAACACTTATATGATGAACCTGATACAGAACAGTGTGATCTGTATAGTGAACGAAACATAATGTATAATCTCCAGGCACCAATTAAGCTTAGCAGTTAATGAATGAGGGTATCTATATTTTGCGATGAAAGGTCTCTAGCAGGTATCATTTACTGTGAAGTGGGTGAGGGAAGAGAACCATGCCCCGGGGTGAATGATGGGAACAAAGGAGAGAGTTGTGGGAGTGAGTGGTACTTCACCCTGCTTCACCCTCACAGATACTTGACGCTAGTGAATGGTGGACCAGCGAATACTTCTACTGAAATGACAACGTTTCTCTCTCCTCTCCCCCTTGAACATTCTCCCCATTCAACTCTCTCCTCTCTCCCCTGAGTCCCCTCCAACTCTCTCTCGCTCCTCCAACTCTCTTCTTTCTCTTTCCCTCTCCCCCTCCAACTCTCTCCTTTCTCCTTCCCTCTCCCCCTCCAACTCTCTCCTTTCTCCTTCCTCTCCCTCCAACTCTCTCCTTCTTCTTCCCTCTCCCCCTCCAACTCTCTCCTTTCTCCTTCCCTCTCCCCCTCCAACTCTCTCCTTTCTTCTTCCCTCTCCCCCTCCAACTCTCGCCACCTCCAGAACTCTCTTTCTCGCATACAAATAAACAGATAACCACTACAGTACTAAACAAACAGGAAAATATGGAGGCGTTGTTGTAGCCAATGATACTGCATCTTGAGGCAGTACTTCGTTCAGCACTCACACGGCCACAAGGAGAACTTTCCATGCACACGTTAATTAACTTGTGAAATAATAACACAAAGCAGAAAAGAGTAACTTCTACTTTGTGAAATGTCACCGTGACGTTAGTGTTACATTATTGATGGGTCAGGAACACGTCACTGACCTTTCACGCCAGAAAAGAAATTTATAAATGATGCAATTAAATCTACTGCTTATAACAACAGAATTGAGGGTATAATAGACTTCCAAATGTCATTATCATATTGAACAAGCCATTAATGCCACTATAGTGTTTCACGTTAAAAAAATATCTTCACATTTACGTAAAATGAAATGGAGTTTAACACGTCAGCCACTCTCCTATCACAAGTGGTTTTTTTATAGCTTCCAAAAGCTGTGGGTTTGTTTTTTCAGTAAAGCCACAAAAATCATGACTGTACTAAATCCTGCCAAGTCGCATCAACATTAAAGAAAGATTAAAGTGATTCGCCCATTCTGAGATCCATTGCTGTTGAGTGACAATGGCTTTCGTATATTTTCAGGGGGAAGTTTAACCTATGGCTCTTTGACCAAATATTTATGTGAATATTTATGATTTATTAATATAATATAAGTGATAACAAAAATTATTTACTCTGAATAAGGTTGACATTAGAAACTATATATCCTCATTGTCAATATATACTGTAGTCTGTAGGCCTATACTGTAGTCTGTAGGCCTATACTGTACCTGCATTATCTATACAATTGGTTCAGCGTATTGTATGATACGTTGAACCAATTGTAAACTGTATGGCAATTTTACTGAATATTTATACATCTATTTATCTATAAGTACAGTTATATATCGAGAAATACGATTGATTTAGAGAAAAAAACAAGAATTAGGAAGCGGTGTGTGTGTGTGTTGGTGGCAGAGTTTACTGAGTAGTTATTAAGGATCCACCACACAGAAGCCTAGGCAAAAAAAAAAAACACCTCAGGTTGTATTTGTGAAGTAAATAATTTGACTCCAGTGTGATAGAAACCATTCAAATAACTTAAAGTCTCATTAGTTTATTCAGGAAGTAATTTTAACAAGTGTGTGTGTGTGTGTTTAGAGACGTTTACGGTGTGTTTATGGACCCCAAATTATATCTTTACCTCTCGTGTGTCAGGTTTGTGTTGATTGCGGCTCGTTTCCCACTAATTTGCGAATCAACCAATTAGACAGCATCAAACCATCAATGGATCACTGTTGTATATCACGCGCACGCCAACAAGGACTAGTGTAGGTGTGATTGACTATATAATACCAACCTTAATACAGCACTGGACTATCTTTCTGTAACTGTAACATGTCACTTACAACATACTTCAGGACTCAAGGAATTACATTACAGCTGTGTTTATTTAGTAAGTGATTCCAGGTATTGTGGTTATAAATAGTGAAGGTATGAGTCGATAAGTTCCACGAGACACGACACGATATAGTTTACTTGTCTTTTACTTCCTCCTCTTACGCACACGGGTGACACAGTAATTAAGCATATAAATTGATATGTAAGTAAATAAGTTAATAAATATGTAAGTAAACAAGTATAATAAGGAATTGATTTCAGACGTTGCATGTGTAATATTTACGATCCAAGTAAGTGTTAATGTACATAAATTTATCACCTTTAAATAAGTCAATGACAATATTTATGTATCATAGAATTAAAGAGCAATTTCTCACAGCAAATGGACTAGGTTTCTTATGTTTACTTGTGTTCAGGTTTTCATAACATTAGTACGATATAATACTGTAGAGTACGTACTGTACATTTTCTTCTTTACACGTCTATGTGCAAATGCTGAATCAATGTGAACTTTTGTGACGATATTACTGGATAAGTTGGTATGTGTGTATCATGTATGTACTGTATGTGTATATCTATGTATATATCTTAAAGTCTCAGTACCTAACATTTCGACGTATTTTGGCGATTATTTTTGAAATTTCGTTCAAGTGAAGTGACATGTTTGTTATACCTACTGTTGGGGGGGAGGGGGACGTCTGAATCAAGGAAGGTACAGTTGGTCTGAATGTCTGTGAGGAGGTGGCGTGGAGGGTGAGTGAGGTGAGTGTGAGTATCAGGTTACAGGTACAGCACCAGCCAGGCAAACGCTTCCACCAGTACTAAGACGCCGCGTAAAGGAAGTGGTGGTGGGAGGTAATAATGGGACCATGCAAGCAATAGGTCATCTTTAAGCTTCCTCTCCTCCCTGTGTAATATCTGCTCATTATGTTGTGTTGTGAGGTGTTTAATGGGCAGTAGAGGTGCGGGGTGACCCTCGTCCAGGCCAAGTGAGGTGTTCTACTGCACCACCTCCACGTATTTACTCAAGGAAAAAAAAAAGGTAACTAGAAACCGTTATTCATAATCCTCTCCGTATTAACATAACGAAACATTTTTGTTATACAAAAATAGAAATTCTATAAGCAACAATATCCACTGTTTATGAATTGCAACTGAAAAAATGGTAATTGGTAATATATTTTTGAATACTTGTTGAAAATCCATAGGTGTCCTTGAGGTCTGGTTGGCGCAGGTCAGGCTGGTAGTAGGAACCTCGGCCAACAGATGGCACGCCGCCGTCAGTCTTGTCACTGAGCGAGTGGCGCCAGGATGTACGTGTGGCGTCCCTGTAAATACCTCTGAATACCAATGGTTAGTGGAGAAGACACCCTGGTTTGGTATCAGTAGAGTTCTGGTGATGAAAATCGATGTGTGAGATGAGAAATGGTGGTGGGTAGAGGTGCAGGGGAGGTGAAACAAGGGTCGGTGTGAGCGAGAGAGTGTTGTCTGCGTCGTCTGCTACTCAGCTGATCATGGTGGTCGCTGCTGCCTCTGTTTACATTGGATGAAGGTGGGAGTGTTGGTCGTGCTTACAACTATGGTGTGGCCTTCCTGCTGTTGCCTGTGCCACACCTGCTCACACCATACCACACCACACCTGCCCACCTGTCTTACAGGAAGGGGTTCATAATCCATCCGCCTTTGGTAATTGCGCGCTCTCTTCACGGAGATCGCAAGACATTTTTTTTGTAATTTTTTTTGCAGGGAAATCATTTTTTTTTCTCACAGGTAACTCGACACAGCTGGTATTGATGTACCGCTGTGTTCCCACGGGGGTAGTGACGCGGAGGACTCTGCTCTATCAGACAGTATGTGTAGTTTTTTACTCCAAGAGAAGGTCTACAGCAGCCTAAAGAGGCACATTGTGTGATCAATATGACCTAACGACCACTTCCGGACCTTAGACCTGACCATCACGCTCACTTAATGTTGCCGGTGTTGGAATGTTTAGTGGAGGTACTGTGAGGGAATGTTTAGTGGAGGTACTGTGTGTAGGAATTTTTAGTGGAGGTACTGTGAGGGAATGTTTAGTGGAGGTACTGTGAGGGAATGTTTAGTGGAGGTACTGTGTGTAGGAATGTTTAGTGGAGGTACTGTGAGGGAATGTTTAGTGGAGGTACTGTGTGTAGGAATGTTTAGTGGAGGTACTATGAGGGAATGTTCAGTGGAGGTACTGTGTGTGTTGGAATGTTTAATGGAGGTACTGTGTGTGTTGGAATGTTTAGTGGAGGTACTGTGTGTTGGTGTAGGAATGTTTAGTGGAGGTACTATGAGGGAATGTTCAGTGGAGGTACTGTGTGTGTTGGAATGTTTAATGGAGGTACTGTGTGTGTTGGAATGTTTAGTGGAGGTACTGTGTGTTGGGGAATGTTCAGTGGAGGTACTCTGTGTGTGCAGGAATGTTTAGTGGAGGTGCTGTGTGTGTGTGGGGAATGTTTAATGGAGGTGCACTATATGTGTGGGAATGTTTAGTGGAGGTGCTGTGTGTGTGGGAATGTTTAATGGAAGTACTGTGTGTTGGAATGTTTAATGGAGGTACTGTGAGGGGTAGTGGAGGTACTGTGTGTGTTGGAAATGTTTAGTGGGTACTGTGTGTGGGAATGTTTAGTGGAGGCTGTTGGAATGTTTAGTGGAGGTACTATGAGGAATGTTTAATGGAGGTACTGTGGAGGGATGAGTGGAGGTACTGTGTGTAGGAATGTTTAGTGGAGGTACTATGAGGGAATGTTCAGTGGAGGTACTGTGTGTGGGAATGTTTAGTGGAGGTACTGTGAGGGAAATGTTTAGTGGAGGTACTGTGTGTGTGTTGGAATGTTTAGTGGAGGTACTGTGTGTTGGGTATGGAGGTACTGTGAGGGAATGTTTAGTGGAGTGTGTGTTGGAATGTTTAGGTACTGTGTGTGTTGGAAATGTTTAGTGGAGGTACTGTGTGGGAATGTTTAGTGGAGGTACAGTGTGTTGGAATGTTTAGTGGAGGTATGAGGGAATGTTTAGTGGAGGTACTGTGAGGAATGTTTAGTGGAGGTGCACTGTGTTGGAATGTTTAGTGGAGGTACTGTGTGTAGGAATGTTTAGTGGAGGTACTGTGTGGAAGATGTTTAGTGGAGGTACTGTGTGTGTTGGAATGTTTAATGGAGGTACTGTGTGGGGAATGTTTAGTGGAGGTACTGTGTGTGGGAATGTTTATGAATGGTACTGTGTATGGGAATGTTTAGTGGAGGTACTGTTGGAGAATGTTTAGTGGAGGTACTGTGTGTTGGAATGTTTAGTGGAGGTACTGTGTGTGGGAATGTTTAGTGGAGGTACTGTGTGTTGGAATGTTTAATGGAGGTACTGTGTGTGGGAATGTTTAGTGGAGGTACTGTGTGTGGGAATGTTTAGTGGAGGTACTGTGTGTTGGAATTTAGTGGGTACTGTGTGTGTGTGGGAATGTTTAGTGGAGGTACTGTGTGTTGGAATGTTTGGTGGAGGTACTGTGTTTGGGAATGTTCAGTGGAGGTACTGTGTGTAAGAATGTTTAGTGGAGGTACTGTGTGTGGGGAATGTTTAATGGAGGTACTGTGAGGGAAATGTTTAGTGGAGGTACTGTGTGTGTTGGGAAATGTTTAGTGGAGGTACTGTGTGTGGGATGTTTAGTGGAGGTACAGTGTGTGTGGAATGTTTAGTGGAGGTACTATGAGGGAATGTTTAGTGGAGGTACTGTGAGGGAATGTTTAGTGGAGGTACTGTGTGCTGGAATGTTTAGTGGAGTACTGTGTGTAGGAATGTTTAGTGGAGGTGTGGTAAATGTTTAGTGGAGGTACTGTGTGTGTTGGAATGTTTAATGGAGGTACTGTGTGTGGGAATGTTTAGTGGAGGTACTGTGTGTGTGGGAATGTTTAATGGAGGTACTGTGTATGGGAATGTTTAGTGGAGGTACTTTTGGAATGTTTAGTGGAGGTACTGTGTGTTGGAATGTTTAGTGGAGGTACTGTGTGTGTGGGAATGTTTAGTGGAGGTACTGTGTGTTGGAATGTTTAATGGAGGTACTGTGTGGGAATGTTTAGTGGAGGTACTGTGTGGGAATGTTTAGTGGAGGTACTGTGTGTTGGAATGTTTAGTGGAGGTACTGTGTGTGGGAATGTTTAGTGGAGGTACTGTGTGTTGGAATGTTTGGTGGAGGTACTGTGTTTGGGAATGTTCAGTGGAGTACTGTAGAATGTTTAGTGGAGGTACTGTGTGTGGGAATGTTTAATGGAGGTACTATATGTGTAGGAATGTTTAGTGGAGGTACTGTGTGTGTGGGAATGTTTAATGAAGTACTGTGTGTGGGAATGTTTAGTGGTGGTACTGTGTTGGAATGTTTAGTGGGTACTGTGTGTGTGGGGAATGTTTAATGGAGGTACTATGTGTGTAGGAATGTTAGTGGAGGTGAGAATGTTTAGTGGAGGTACTGTGTGTTGGAATGTTTAGTGGAGGTACTATGTGTTGGAATGTTTAGTGGAGGTACTGTGTGTGTGGGAGTTAATGGAGGTACTATGTGTGTAGATGTTTAGTGGAGGTACTGTGTGTTGGAATGTTTAGTGGAGGTACTGTGTGTGGGAATGTTTAATGGAGGTACTGTTTGTGGGAATGTTTAGTGGAGGTACTGTGTGTTGGAATGTTTAGTGGAGGTACTGTGTTTTGGAATGTTTGGTGGAGGTACTGTGTGTGTGGGAATGTTTAGTGGAGGTACTGTGTGTGTCGGAATGTTTAATGGAGGTACTGTGTGTGGGAATGTTTAGTGGAGGAACTGTGTGTTGGAATGTTTGGTGGAGGTACTGTGTGTGTGGGAATGTTTAGTGGGTACTGTGTGTGTGGGAATGTTTAATGGAGGTACTGTGTGTGTGGGAATGTTTAGTGGAGGTACTGTGTGTTGGAATGTTTAGTGGAGGTACTGTGTGTGTGGGAATGTTTAATGGAGGTACTATATGTGTAGGAATGTTTAGTGGAGGTACTGTGTGTAGGAATGTTTAGTGGAGGTACTGTGTGTTGGAATGTTTGGTGGAGAGTGTGTGTGTGTGTGGGTTAATGGAGGTACTATATGTGTAGAATGTTTAGTGGAGGTACTGTGTGTTGGAATGTTTAGTGCAGGCACTGTGTGTTGGAATTTGGTGGAGGTACTGTGTGTGTGGGAATGTTTAGTGGAGGTACTGTGTGTGGGAATGTTTAATGGAGGTACTGTTTGTGGGAATGTTTAGTGGAGGTACTGTGTGTTGGAATGTTTAGTGGAGGTACTATGTGTAGGAATGTTTAGTGGAGGTACTGTGTGTGTGGGGAATGTTTAATGGGTACTATGTGTTGGAATGCTTAGTGGAGGTACTGTGTGTGGGAGGAATGTTTAGTGAATGTGATGATGCGTAATGTTAATCTCACTCGTTGTGGTCAAATTTGGTGGTTTGTGGTTAATGCGGTCTATCTTACACTTGAGTTGTGGCGAGGCAGATAACGTGTGTGTCTGTGTGTGGTTACGGTAGGCTGAGCGTAGCGACCTCAGGTGTTCAAGCCATTAATTTAGGCCAGCGACACTTTCACCTGCGTCATTCACACCACCTGTCATGCTACCACACCACCTGTCACCTACCACACCTAGTTAGCTTTAGGATAGATTAGGTGAGTGTTAGGTTTGATTAGGTTAACATTGGGGTGAGGTAAAAATAAAAAAGGGTGGGTAATCTTCAGGTGAACAGTATCGTGGAGGGGTGTTACGGCAGTAGGTAGTACAGTACAGGTATGCTGGGTAATCTTATCTCACCTGTGTGTGTGTGTACGTGTGTCTGTGTGTACATGTGGTGTGTGTGTGTGTGTGTGTGTGTGTGTATATAGTAGCAGCGCTGATGGTGATAGTAGTGGTGTCGGTAGCAATGGTAAGTGTTTCGGCAATGGTGGTGATGTAGTATTGACAGTGGTTGTGGTAGGTCCTGGTAGTGGGACAGGTCACCAACCTTAGCAGCCAATACCTGGTCTGTTTATTGATTAATGATGGGGAGGGGGTTATACTACCTTCCCCCCCTCTCTCACTCCCTCCCCCCCACTCTCTCACTCCCTCCCCACTCTCTCCTCCCCCCCCACTGTCTCCACTCTGGCTAGAAGGTAATGTGTGTGTGTGGGCAGTGTGACCTAACTCGAGTAACTTGGTGAGTGTGAGAGAATGATTCTGATTTAAGTGTAAAGAATGACTAAGTGTGATTCAACAAACGGCAGTGTATTATAGATTTAAGTGTGGGGAGGAAGACTCGCTATTGAATGAATGAAACACAACACGAATGAATGCATGAATGAATGAACTGAATCTTACTGTATTTCCACGAGTCAAAAAAATATATTTAGGTCATGTACAGTAGGGGAGACACGTGACCGGAAGTGTGGTGACGTCATACAGGTAGAAACGACTAGCCAATCACCGACCGGAAGTGTGGTAAGGTCATAGAGGTAGAAACGACTAGCCAATCACCGACCGGAAGTGTGGTGAGGTCATAGAGGTTGGACTGCTGTTGACCTTTGACCTTTACTTGTGAAAATCAATAAGAGTTGGTCCTCGTCTGGGTGGTGGGCTCTGATGTAAATTGATGCTATTAGGAACAGGTGTGTGTGTGTATGTATGTATGTATGTATGTGTCAATGTGTGTGTGTGTGTGTATATACTGTATATGTATGTGTGTGTGTATACTGTATGTGTGTGTGTGTATTCACTATGTGTATGTGTGTGTGTATGTATGTATCTATTTATGTATGTATGTACACTGTACAGTATGTGTTTCAATGTGTGGATATGTATGAGTCAATGTGTGTGTGTGTGTGTGTGTTTATATGTACGTAAATAACCATGAACTGCCAGCCACTCAAGGTACAGGAATACTGCAGTGTGTGTGTGTGTGTGTGTGTGTGTGTGTGTGTGTGTGTGTGTGTGTTTTAACTACCTTGAACTGTGTGATCGACCAGTACTGGCAGTCAACTCGCTCTTGTGTGTACAGTTACTACCTGTGTTGGCCAGTGAGACCATAATAAAAGGTGTTGCACAGGTACCATTCATTAGTCAATCAGTATCGGATTACCTGATTATTACCTCCTTAACTTATTTTACCTGGTAATTATAAGCTAACCTAACCTAGTCAACCTAACACAACCAAAACCGTATTAATGTTAGTGTAAACATTAAAAAATAATGTTTGTCACAACCAGAGGGACAAGCTGAACACTGAGGCGACCATCACTGTTTAGGTGTGAGGGAGGGAGGTAGGGAGAGAGAGAGGGGAGTAGTGAGGGAGGGAGAGTGGGAAATAGTGAGGGAGGGAAGTAGTGACTGAGGGAGAGGAAGGGAGAATATAGGTTGCGTGTGGTAGCGGGTAAAGTAAATGAGAGGGCACATGACGAACTTACAGAGAGTGTGTGTGGCGGCAGAGAGACAAGGAGTGACGGAGAGAGAGAGAGAGGGGTAACTTATTGAGATAATGGGAGAGTTTGATTGAGGGTGATGAGAGAGAATGAGCGAAGAGGTGAGAAAGAGAGAGAGAGAGAAGGAAGGAAGGAATGAGTGATGGAGAGTGGGTGAGAGAGAGAATGCGAGTGAGAGAATGAAGAAAAGGAGAGGAAGAGAAAGAGGCGAGGGCAGGCAACATTCAAGGGTAGGTATTAGTGAATGAAGTTCAATACAACAATGTGATCCTTTACATGTTGTCATTCGTACCCACACGCCATGCCTTGGTAGACTGGGTGGTGCCGTTGGTATTTCCTCTCTCCCCTCTCCCCTCTCCTCTCCCCCTCTCATTGTCACGCAAACGTCTGTCTGTCTGTGTGTGTCTGAGACCGTCACCGCTTGCTGCCTTGTTGTCAAGCAGAATGTCAAGGCACGAGGTGTGGTGGTATGTTGACTACTGTGTGTGTGTATGTATACCTGTGTGTGTACCTGTGTGTGTATGTATACCTGTGTGTGTACCTGTGTGTGTATGTATACCTGTGTGTGTGTGTGTGTGTGTACGTACCTGTGTGTGTGTACCTGTATGTGTGTGTGTGTGTGTGTGAGATAGGTTACGAGGTGTGGTGATATATTGACTACTGTGTGTGTGTGGGGGTGGGGCGGGGTAGTCGCAATGTGTGGCGGTATTAATATGTGTAGAGTAGTGGTAGTTGTGGTAAAAGTAGTGGTAATTGTGGTAAAAGTAGTGGTAGTTGTGGTAAAAGTAGTGGTAGTTGTGGTAGGGCGTTTCTAATTGACCAAGGGGAGGAGGGAGGGAGAAGGAAGGTAGGAGGGAGGGAGAAACGACGGAACACACGCTCCTCCCTGCAGTAAGAGAGAGAGTGAGTGTGTTTGTTTCTGCAATCCACATTTCTGCATTTTCTTTATTCTGAAATATATATATTTTGTAAGTGATTCCTATTATCTCTCTCTCTCTCTCTCTCTCTCTCTCTCTCCTCTGTATGTGACCCGTAATTAAAAGTAATTCTGTATTCTAATGGTACCCGGAGGAGGTGTAGATGACGTCACACGTAAACAACAGTAATCGTCTGTAATAAACATAAACAGTGGATGTATTTTTTTTGTATTCTAGTATGTAATGGGCTGTAGTTTACCTGTCACAGTGTGTATGTGTGTATGTGTGTGTGTTATATATGTATGTTTGTAATGTACAGTATGTATGTATGATATATGTATGTATTTATGTATGTATGTTATGTTATGTTATATATGTATATGTAATGTATGTATGTAATGTATGAATGTATGTTATGTTATATGTATGTAATTATGTATGTACTGTATGTATGTATGTATGTATGTTTTGTTATATATGTACGTATGTATGTTAGTTAAGGTTAATTTATTGTACTGGGCATCGTACTCAAGGGGTTAGCTGACCTACAACTATGGCGGATATACTGATGGAATTATGAAATGTGGTTGTGGTTGATTATGTTTGTGGTTAATTGTGGTTATTTGTGGTTTTTGTGGTTGTTTTGTTGTTGTGGTTATTGTGTTTGGAAGATGGTTGTCAGGTAGTGGGAGATGGTGGTAGAGGGGTGTTGGTAGGGAGGAGCAGAAATAATTGTATAGGGGTGGTGGTGGTAGGGGCTTGGGTGAGGGAGGAGGTAGGGAGGAGATGGGGGTAGGGGGGAGAGGAGGTAGGGAGGAGATGAGGTAGGGGGGAGAGGTTGCTTTAGCATAATGGTGGTAGTGGAGGGAAGGGTAGTGATGGTGGTTGTGGAGGGAGGGAGGGAGGGGTAATGATGGTAGTACTGGTGGAGGCATTTTGTGAATGATATAAATTTTTTTTGTAAAGAAGGTATGAAAGAAGATTAAAGGAAGGAAGTTATAATTCGGAAATTGAAGACATTTTGGTGGAGGTGGGATGACCGCCTTGCTACGGGTAAGTTAAGCTAATAGTGTGGTTAGGGTTGTGTCCTGGGTTAGTTGTTGTGGGTGGTTTTCTGGTTGGCTGGTCGCTTATGTGTATCGGTACAGGCACTCCACAGCCTAACCCTATCCCATATATGGCTGTTTCGAGGGTCATATTTCACATTCTGCCGACCCTACTGGCGGATGCTGGTCTAGGGAGGTTGTTTATTACATTTTCTCTCAGTGAACGCCCCTATCCCCCCCTCTCTCTTCTTCATCTCCCTCTCCACACCTTCATCTCTCCTGTCCTCCCTCTCCTCCCCTCCCACACCTCCCTCTCACTCTCTCTCTCTCACACCTTCCTACATTCCTCCTCTCCTCCACACCTCCCTCCTCTCCTCCCCCCTCCCTCCTCCTCCCACACCTTCCTTCCTCCCTACCCCTTCCTCCCTCCCCCTCCTCCACACCTCCTCCCCCCTCACAACAACAAACTCCATGACCTCCACACACACACACACACTTTCTCTTCTCCCTTGTCTTCACGTGTAACCTTTGACCCCTGCCTCTCCCACCTGAGTCACTGTGCTCCCACACCTACACTGTCACCCACACCCTCATCCACCCACATGTACCCAATCCACCTGGTAAACTATGCCAAGGTAGAGGCCGTCGAGTGGTGGAACTGGCTCTCCCTGGCCCTGGCACTTCCGACACTCTATCTCATTGGTGGTGGCTCTGTTAGGTGTTTGTGGTGTCGTGGGATAGTTAACTACTGCAGAAGTAATAATAATAACAATACCATTTGTCTTTATTATTATTATTATTATTATTATTATTATTATTATTATTATTATTATTATTATTATTGTGCGGTGTGATGCTGTGTTAATAACATAAGGTAGCCATTGTCCTCAACACCTGTGCGAAGCCATTTAACGTCTGCAGTGTTGTGTTAATGACGTAATAACACCTTTATAAGGTATTTAACAGGTGTTTTTGTTTGTGTTATAGATGCGGGTGGTTGGACGGGCGTACAGGGAGCTGGTCACTGTCCGCGGGATGGGGGTCACCGCCCGCCGACACACACACACCAAGTTCTGACCATCACCCGCTGGCTGCCTGCCCCCCCACCACTCACCCCCACCACCACCACCAACAACCACCACCACCAACAACCACCACCAACACCGCCACCACCACCTCTCGCCGCGCCGCACACACTCCGACGATGATCTCATAATAATGTGATACACAATCAAAACCTGTGGAGAGCGTGTGTATGTGTGATTGTGTGTGTTTGTGTGTGTGTGTGACCCCAAGAGCACTCTCTCTCACACAACACACACATCTGTCATTAAGATAAATGAATATATATATAAATATATATACACACACATATATAAATATATATATATAAATCTATATTAGAGTTTTTATTTTACAAGTGATGGACAAGAATGATGGTGACACTTGTTCACGAGTCGAGACAGAGATAGTGGCAGCTGAGTGAGGATGAGGGAAGACTGCCGCCCTGAGGAACACCCTGTAGCTCCTCGCCCACCTCTCATGGTTGTGTTCCCACCTCGGTAAAACTCTTAGGACGTAAAACCCGCGTGTATGAGTGTGTGTCTGTGTGTGTGTGTGTGTGTGTAGGGGGACTCTCCAGATGTTTACTGTAGTGGTTCCTCATTGGCTGCCAGACGAAGGTGCAGCTACATCAAGATAAACAGTGAACGGCTAAGACAAGATACAAGTTAACTTACTATGGGTGTATACAGACGGTGCCGCCAGCGACCTCAGGCCAGGGGTGAGGCGTCCTAGTGACCAGTGTGTGATATTGAAGCAACTCGCCAACCTTTGTGAGTGGTCAATACTGGTCCTGAACGGTGGTCTGTGTTGTGGAAAGTGGTCCTTCTGGTTTTTCTCACCGCTGAAGTGTGTGTTTGTGTGTGTGTGTGTGTGAGTGAGTGAGTGTTTGTGTGTGAGACCTAATCTACCCACAAGAAGCATAGATAAGGTCGATAAGGTCCTCCTCTGACATGATGCGACGTATTCTCATGGCCAGGGTGATGTGACCTGGTGACCACCCCCTGCCACACCCCACAACCTCCACCCCCCCCACATGTATGGATGGAGGGTTCAAGACCAGGTTCTGAGGCCGTGACCACCACCACCACCAGCTGCTGAACCTTTTAGCTGGACAGAACCTCACGAACTCGAACTGGTAAGGCAGGTGGTTGGGTCACTACCAGGAGGTTCAGATATCACGGATACCAGCTGGTTACATTCCTCAACACCAGCTGTGTCACATCCCCTCAACACACAGCTGGTCACATCCCTCTACACCAGCTGTGAGTATTACACTATACCCCTGACTAGATGGTGTTACAGTGACTACAAAGTGCAACAACAAACAAACAAACAATAAAGTGTACAAGAAACTAGAAAAAAAAGTGTCAAGTGTAAATATAAGAAAAGTGTTTACATAGCTAGTGAGTGTGTGTAAGTCGCAACACTGTGCTCTAGGTTGTGAAGTGTAGTACTGTGTTATAAAGAAGATTATCTATAGTAGTGCTAAGTGTTCCTACCGTAAGAAAAAAAAGTGTAGGTAAGATAAAACACTTAAGTGGATAAAGATAGTAAGAGAAATATAACAAAAGTGTGTATAGGAAAAAAAAAAACACTAACTAATAAAAGAAAGTGAGAAAAATACAAAAGAAAAGTGTAAACAAGTGAGAAAAAACACAAACACGAAGTGAGAAAAGAAACGCAAAATAAAAACTAAACTAAACCAGTGAACAAGTGGAAATAAAACACACGAACCAAAACAAAACAAAGCAAATCCCAAACAGTTGGTAAAAGGTAAACCAAAAGAAATCAAGATAAGAGGTGATAAGTGGAGGAGGAGGAGAAGGAGGAGGAAGCAGAGGGGAGGAGGGGAACAGCTACCGCGGTGCATCATGGGAGAGCTTCAAGCTACCGTCGAACTGGCGCTACACATACACAAGTTCTACAACGTTGATCTGTTCCAGCGTGGGTGAGTACTGTTGGGTGGATGTTGCCTGCTGTAGGGGTGGGTGTTGCCTGTAGGGGTGAATGTTGATGTGGGGGTGAGTGTTGCCTGCTGTAGGGGTGGGTGCTGCCTGCTGTAGGGGTGGCTGTTGCCTGTTGAGGTGGGTGTTGCTCTGTTGTAGGGGTGGATATTGCTCAGGGGTGAATGTTGATGGGGGTGGGAGGTTGCTGTAGGGGTGTGGGTGTTGCCTGCTGTAGTGGGTATGCTCTGCTGTTGAGGTGGGTGCTGCCTGCTGCAGGGGTGGGTGCTGCCTGCTGTAGGGGTGGGTGTTGCCTGTAGGGGTGAATGTTGGATGGGGGGCGAGTGCTGCCTGTTGTAGGGGTGGGTGTTGCCTGTTGTAGGGGTGGGTGTTGCCTGCTGTAGGGGTGGGTGTTGCCTGCTGTTGAGGTGGGTGCTGCCTGCTGTAGGGGTGGGTGTTGCCTGTAGGGGTGAATGTTGGATGTGGGGTGAGTGTTGCCTGTTGTAGGGGGTGGGTGTTGCCTGTTGTAGGGGTGGGTGTTGCCTGCTGTTGAGGTGGGTGCTGCCTTCTGTAGGGGTGGGTGTTGCCTGCTGTAGGGGTGGGTGTTGCCTGCTGTTACAGGCGTTGGTGCTGCCTGTTGTAGGGGTGGGTGTTGCCTGTTGTAGGGGTGTGTTGCCTGTTGTAGGGGTGGGTGTTGCCTGCTGTTGAGGTGGGTGCTGCCTTCTGTAGGGGTGGGTGTTGCCTGCTGTAGGGGTGGGTGTTGCCTGCTGTTACAGGCGTTGGTGCTGCCTGCTGGGTCACTATAACTTATGATAATGATGTAATGAATGAAAATAATATTAGTAATGATAATAATAATAATTGCTCTATTATTTTTGAAGTCAATTGTGTAGAATGACTGACTAATAATCACTATATTATTGTTTTTGTTAATTGTTTGTTGCTTTGCTTTTGTTGTTGTTTTGCTTTTGTTGTTGTTTTGCTTTTGTTGTGTTACCCCGTGAAGGTTTTATGACGTCATCGTAAACAAGGATGAGGTGGGATCATGATTGGTCCATCCAGACTTTATGAGCGTTGATTGGTCCAGCTATCCAGACTTCACGAGCGTTTGATTGGTCCATCCATACTTTACGGGCGTTGATTGGTCCATTCATACTTGGCGAGCGTTGATTGGCTAAACAGCATCTTAGAAAAGCCTTTGATAATCACCTTTCCATACATGATGTCTTACCACAAGCCAAACTGTCTGTCTGTCTGTCTGTCCGTCCACTCATGTGTCATCAAGCCCGGAGGAGGTGTAGGAGGAAGAAAGGGGGAGGGGGAAGAGGTGTAGGAGGAGGGGAGGAGGCGGTGTAGGAGGAGGGCCAGGGAAGGAGATCCTCTTGTAGTACTACACTATTGATCTTCCGCAAGGTGTGTCTCTGCTTCCTCCTCCTCCTACTACTCCTCCTCCTCCATACCCCTCTCCATTCTCATCCTCTACCTCAGCCCTCCGCGACCTCTTTGTTTTAATTTGTTTTCCCTGGCTGGTTCTACTCTGTTCCCCACCACTTCCCCCATTCTCTCACACCTCACACACGCTATCTGAATGCGAGTTTTCACCTGTCTGTCTGTCTGTCTGTCAAAGTTGAGTAAAAAATCAAGGTTGTGAATCAAGGTTGTGAGTCAAGGTAGGTCAAGGTTGTGAATCAAGGTTGTGAATCAAGGTTGAGTCAAGGTTGTGAGTCAAGGTTGGTCAAGGTTGTGAGTCAAGGTTGTGAATCAAGGTTGAGTCAAGGTAGGTCAAGGTTGTGAGTCAAGGTAGGTCAAGGTTGTAATGTTTGTGGATGAATTAAGTTATTGATTGATTAATTATATAATTGGTGAAGTAATTTGGGGTCTAATTAACTCATTAGCCAACCGGTGAGGGTTAGGAGCACCTGTAGTGTATCATGGGGCAGGTGGGTGTACACGTGTTTGTGGTTTACCTGTAGTTCGCCTGTAGTTCACCTGTGGCTTACCTGTAGTTCACCTAGTTTACCTGTAGTTCACCTGTGGTTTACCTGTAGTTCATCTGTATTTCACCTGTAGTTTACCCGTGGTTCACCTGTAGTTCACCTGTTGTTTACCTGTATTTCACCTGTAGTTCACCTGTGGTTTACCTGTAGTTCACCTGTATTTCACCTGTAGTTTACCTGTGGTTTACCAGTAGTTCACCTGTAGTTTACCTGTGGTTTACCTGTAGTTTACCTGTAGTTCACCTGTGGTTTACCTGTGGTTTACCTGCAGTTACCTGTGGTTAATACTGGCAGGCAACAGTCGTGTGTGATACATTTATAGTGTGCTTCGTGACGAGTCCCCCCACCCCCGTCTCCCCCCTTCACTCCCTCCATTTCCTCACCCCACCTCCCTCTCTCTCCCTGTCCTCACCCCACCTCCCTCTCCTCCCTCCCCCTGTCCTCACCCCTAACCTCCCTCTCTCCCTCCCCCAGTCCTCACCCCACCTCCCTCCCCAGTCCCTACCCCACCTCCCTCCCCCAGTCCCTCACCCCACCTCCCTCCCCCAGTCCCTCACCCCCTCTCTCCCTCCCCCAGTCCTCACCCCCTCTCTCTCCCTCCCCCAGTCCCTCACCCCCTCTTTCTCACCCCTCTCCTCCCTCCCTCCCCCAGTCCCTCACCCCTGTCCCTCCCCCAAACCCCCAGCTAGGCCCCTCCTGAATCCCCAAAGCCACGCCCTCACTGGAGTTTAGGCTACCTGTGTAGTGGAACGACCGCCAAAGTAATTACAGGTTGAACCGCGCCTGCCCCTGGTACGGTGTGTCACGCAAAGTGTGTGTGTGTGTGTGTGGGGGGTGAGGGTGTACGCGTGTGGTGGGGGGACCGACCAGGCTATGCGGCATTCAATGTATATGTACAGTGTATAATATTAGGGCCAGATGTGATAGGCCGGTAGAAGAACGGTGGAGAGAGAGAGAGAGAGAGAGAGAGAGAGAGAGAGAGAGAGAGAGAGAATGGAAGGGAAGTGAGGAGAATAGGTGAAGACAAACCAACTCCAAGCCAACCCAACCTAACCTAACCCAACCTAACCCAACCCAGGGAAGAAGAGCAACACATAAAGCACTACTGTCTTACGTTATCACAGACACGAGGTAGAAAGATTATACTGTCAGTGAAATGTTGACAGGAGGAGTTACTGTCTCAGCTAACACACACACACACACACACACACACACACACACACACACACACACACACACACACACACACACACACACACGTACGAGCATTGGGTTATCTCATGAGGGGGAGTAGGAAGAGAAGAATAATGAGGCGATATCTAATGATGATGATGATGATGATGAGAGAGAGAGAGAGAGAGAGAGAGAGAGTATGAATTAGCGAGGTGTATTAAAGTAAGACGTGATGTGAGCACCGCCAGCCACTGCACCCCTCCTCCTCCCCCCACTATCTCCCCATCACCCTCCCCTCCCCCCCATCACTCCTCATCACCCCTCCTCCCTCACCCCTCACTCACTCTACACACTGCTACTAGATCGATAACGGATTGTTCCCTCCACCCTTCCTCCTCCCCCTCACCCCTTACAACTTCCACCCCCTCTCTGCCTTCCTTTCTCCCCCATCATCTCTAACCCCCCACTCCCCACCCTCTCCCTGTCTCCCCACCCCTCCTACCTTTTCTCCCTTACACTTCTACCTCATTAACCTCCCCTACCCCACTTACCCTCCTCCTCTTATCTTTCTGTTGTTTTATTCTCTCTAATTCCTCTACCCCTTCCTTCCTCCCCCCCTCCTCTCCCCCTTCCTCCCTCCTCCCTCCATCCCCTCCTCTCCTTTCCCTCCTACTCCCTTCTCCCTCCTCCTCTCCTCCCCCTCCCCTCTTCCTCCTTCCTTTCATTGCCACAACCTTCAACTCTTCCTTTCATTGCCACAACCTTCAACTCTCACCTCCCCCCCAATTTGCTTTTTTCCCTCTTACCCCCTCACTCTTCCCCCTCCCCCCCCTCCTTCCTTCTCCCCCTTCCACATACTTCCTCCCCCCTGTCAGGAGGTGTGGGGGAGGAGGAGAGGGCGGAAGAAGAGGAGGAGGAAGAGCGGAAGGAGACAATAGAGAGCGGAGATGAGAGAGTCGGAGAAGGGAAGGAAGTCGCCTTTATTAGCCCGCTGCCTCAACCGGGAGGGAGGGAGGGAGGGTAAGGGGGAACTAAAGATGGAGGGAGGGAATTAGTGGGGGAGGAGGTAGGAGGGAGGGAACTAAAGAGAGAGAGAGGGGGAGGAAGGTTGTCCTACAGTGGTGACCTGTGACCTTGACCCCTGTCTGAAATTGACCAAAAATTGTGTAGTGTCGACCTATTACCGAGGCTGATCAGGTATGCTAAGAGACAGACAGACAGACACACACACACACAGACAGAAACAGACAGACAGACAGACACAGACAGACAGAAACAGACAGACAGACAGACACACACAGACAGACAGAGACACACACACACACAGACACAGACAAAAACAAACAGACAGACAGACACTTTCACACAAACCGAACCATTTAGTATGTATTAGAACACGACCCCATTATAAACTATTAGGATAAAGGGCCAATTAGGACGATAAGAATAAGAAGCCAATTAACCTGTTCCCATTACAAACTATTAAACACACTTTTAATTTTTAACATAGGAAATATTTTGAGATACGTGTGAAAGTTTGTCCCTGAAAAAAAAAAGTATATATATAGTTTGAATTCATGTTATGTGCACAGTATATGTAATTCGCCTCGCATGAGTTACCTGGCCGCATTTAAATTATCAATAAGGTGCGTCGTTGAGTTGCCAGTGAGGGTTTGTTGTTGTTGTATTTTAATAAGGTGTGGTGTTTGTTGTGTCTTTGGGAGAGAGAGAGAGAGAGAGAGAGAGAGAGAGAGAGAGAGAGAGAGAGAGAGAGAGAGAGAGAGAATAATAATAATAATAGTTGCAGTAGAAAATTTGTTGTTAGGTAGTAGTAG